CTCTCTCTCTCCCTCCCTCCCTCTCTCTCTCTCCCTCTCTCTCTCCCTCTCTCTCTCCCTCTCTCTCCCTCTCTCTCTGTCTCTCTCTGTCTCTCGCTTTCGGTCGCTTTCTGTTCGCGCTGTCCGCGAGCAAGCAGGGGATGGCTCGGCGCGGTGCCCTGCCGCCCCGTTGTGCTCCCGGCGACGCTCCCCCGCAGACCTTGGCGCGTAAACACTCCGACCCCATAACCTTGAAATTAGGGCCTTCTCCCCCCCCCCTCTCTATTATCGCCACGACCTCCACCGCCACCGCGCGAGTCGCTGTGGAAACTCCTCTGATGCATCCAGTCACGTGAGCCGGGCCCGTCGATGTTGTTTGTCGCCGCACTGTTGATACCCGCCGCCCGCCCTGCCCTGGCATGTCGCCCGCCCTGCTGCCCGCCCCGTGAGTCAGGCCGGCTATAGGAGGGCCGGGTGCGGACGCATGCGTGTCGACTCGTGTTGGGGCTGCTGATTCGAGTTATAAGGGGCTGTCCATTATCATTGTGGCCTTCATCGACCTCTCTCGGGCTACTACCTCGCCCCCCCTCCCAATTCTCTCTCTCCCCCTCTCTATCCGCCTCAGTCTCACTGTAGTGGTTATTTGACCAGCCCGCGCACGCATGCACGCACGCACCTTTGCCTGCGTCTTTACAACGACATAACAGGGTGCTCGTTCTTTTGGGGGAAACAAAAGGTGTATAAAATGTAAATTCGTCGCAACCACTCCCCACAAACAACAACGGTCCCATCGTGCGTTTTACAACACGCTGTAATTAATGCCGCGACGTAGAAATTCGCAACAGTCTTTCATAACCTGGGTGGTCCCCTCCTCCCCCTCCCCCGTCTTTCGAAAATAATAGCAGTTTTACCCCACTTTGGAGTGCCGTATGGCGCTCCCTGCGGTGGCGTCCCCGTGACCCCTGACCCCGCAGAGCTCCGCCCGTCCTGGTGACCTCCGCCCTCGCCTGCTGCGCCCCGGCTCCCCGGTCCGTGCGCCATTGGGCGTGGATATTAATGTCACCAACGCGTTCCGTTTTTATTGGATGATGCGGTTTCCGAGCGGCAGCGGGTACCAGCAGCCATGCCGGGTCACCGCGCATGCAGAACGGGGCTGTGCCGTGCCTTCTTTCCCTCCTCTCCCTGTCCTCTCCTTCTTTTTCCTCTTTTCCTCATCCCCCTCTTCTCCCCCTTTCCTCCCTTCTCCCTCTCCTATCCCTCCTTGTTTGTAAGGAGGGGAGAGGGGTCTATTTTATTTTTATTTTGCCAGAGTGTGCTGCTGCTGCAAGGGTGCGCGGGGCGCAAGCGGGGCGTGCCGTTGATGGTGATGACGTTGTCGAGGTTGCGGGTGCCGCGGCTGCTTGACACGTCCTGCAAGAACAATCCTCAGCCCCTCTCCTCCTCCTCCTCCTTCTTCCCCTTCTCCTTCTCTTCCCTCTCATTCTCCTCCCCCGCTTCGTCATCTCGCTCCTTCTCTTGCGCTGGCATGCAACTGTTGCTGCCCCGCCCCGCCCGCGCTGCCTGCCTGCGACCTACTTAACTACGCCCCTGTTCTGAGGAGGAGTGGGCCCGGCCGGGCTGGTGTGGGTCGCCCTCAATAAAACAGGAACATTTCCACGCTTGGGGAATTTATAGGCTATTATCGAGTGAGCGATAACAGTATACAGAGTGGGGTGGGGTGGGCGAGGCTGGACCGGCCGGCGAGGGCGGGGTGGGCTGAACCGAGCCCTCTTAATGGGGCGGCACTACACTGTCCTTGAGAGGCGAGATGGGCGCCGAGGCCATGGCCGTCGGGTCTCCGAGTCTCGCGCACCCCTTTGCAAGCTCTTCCCCCTCCTCGCGGCCACCATCAAT